CCAGAACTTTCCTGTGATCACATTGAACAGCACAGACAAGGACATAGGGCTTATCACTGTAAACTCTGGTGTTGTCACAAATATAAGAACTAATATCCAACAGGAGGGGCCTGGGAAATGGCTTTTCTCAGAGTGTGAATATCAGACTTAGAATAATAATTTTATGTCCCAGCCACAGTCAGAGTTAAAATTTCCTTGCGGTTGCAGATGATCATGTTTAAAAAAACCCTTTGGGCATTACATAGTGATTAAGGTTTGTCTGAGAAAATCAAACTTTGTGGCTTTTTGTGCAAATACCCTTAGAAGAACACTGACAGCTTTTTGTGTTAGTTTAGTTTTTTTTAATACAAGAAGCATAGAACTTAAAAACTATAACTCTCAGTTACTGAAACAGTATCAACACCAGTTTATAAATGGTCTGCATTTTTAGTATAGAATTACTTATATAAATTAATTTATTTTTTATGCAGTCTCTTTATGCAGTCACCTAAAAAAAGGTGACTGCATAAAGAGATTAATGTACAGCCACTAGGGAGATGAAATCTTTGCTATGTTTAAGGACTCTCAGCTGTTTTGCCCCTGTGCCTACATTACTCAGAACTGACACCTCTTTATAAAATTCAGGAACTAATGGAGATGCAAAATGGGACTTGGCTGAAAGAGATTTAGCTGTGGGTTCCTCCACTCTGAACAAAGCATTTTTTGTTATGATCCAGAGGGCGAATATTCCCTCAGAGTCAGGAGCCCTTACACGGGTTCTGTCTGAATCTAGGCCACTGACATCTAGTTTTTATACTACTTCATTAAAAATGTAATTGCAATCTTATAATTGCTGACCCTTTATCTGTTCTTTTGAAACATAGAGGCTTTTTGAAAGCTTCTTGCCAGTGTTAAAAAAAATATCTGTCTCACAATCCTGGTCCCATAACTTAGAATGTTCATCTTCCTGCTGTTTAGTAGAGACATACCTTTGTTGGGGTCCTTTACAGCCAAAACATAAAAGGACTTCCCATCAGAATTTTATGAAAAGTTTTCTTTGCTCTTGTGTTAATTCAATTAGCAAACATACATTCTCATGGTCCCTTCTCTTCTAAAACCTCTCCAGCCCTGTCTCAGGTGTATTGTGTTCTGCTTTCCTTCCCCATTTCATGGTCTTTAATAAAGTCTTTCTCTTCTTTTTAAACTTATTCAATATATGTTTTACTTTAACATAACCTCCCTGTAACTAGCTAATCATGTGATCTTACTCAAAAGTCTCTATCCTTAACATATTTTTAAATATTCTAAATTTTCCATATTTTGCTTTTAAAAAAGTTTCCAACAGTCTTGCCTGTCTTTTACATGATGTTCACAGCAGGAGATGACCTGACTTCCCAGACCCTCCTGGGTCCCCAGGTTGGCTCAAAGCAGCCTTTGCTCAGAATCCTAAAAGACAGAGTAGCATGAAAGGGTGCCTTTCGACAGCACTTTGACCATCAACAGTGTACTCATTTTACATGCATTTTCCCTGCATCATCAAGGAACAAGATCACAGAGATTATAAAAGATATTCTGTCATTTAACCTCAACAACTCTAGAAAACATGTAGGTCTCTGTGATGTCAGCCACCCACAGGAATGTACTGAATGAGCCTTTCTCAAGCCCTCTTTGACGTGCAGCTCAGGCCAGACATCACTGTCCTTATTCTTGGTTTTCTTTGTTATTTTTGCATTTTCCACATGCCTGTCCTTAAAGAGCATACATCATGAATTGGGGAATGGGAAATAATTCTCTGTTCTGGTTCTATTCATTTTCTGCTTTCTGTGGCCTCTGGTGTTTTTGACTGAGGTCCTTGGGGACCTGTCCCAAGGTGGATTGTGTGTAAGCAGAGGTGAACACAGAGTGAAGTCCTGGAGCAATGGAGTCTGCCCAGAGTCACATGAGAAATTGTGAAGCCTGGGAAGTGAGAGGATGTTAGGTATTGTATATTTCAAGAGGCCCTAATGGTTCCAAATGGGAGGGTTTGTTTTGGAGGCTCAGGATGAAACTGAATGGTATGAGTGAGAGTCTGACCTACCTGTTGAGGGAGAAGCCACTGGAGCTCCTGCAGAGAAGTGAGGGTGACATTCTTCCAAACTAGGATGAGCATGAGTGTAAGACACAGAGTTGGGAAAAAATAATGTTTTGAAAACTCAGATTAGTTTCCTGACACTGGGACAAGTGGGAGCAATTGTCTCATCACCCAGGGCCTATATTTTCCCTGTTCTCACAGATACCTGAACTGAAAGAAACCCTGGATCCTCTATTCCTGGAAGAGTTACTGGCAGGGGAGGAGAGAACATACACTGACCTTATAAGAATCAGGGAAGATATTCCATTCTCAAAATTCCTGTCTGTGGGACACCTGCCTGTTTTTCCTGAAGACATCTGTCTATATCACAACTTTCTGGGAAACAAGGGAAACTCCTTGTACAGGATGGGACAGGAGAACCCAGAATCTGTGGTCGCTTCCATCTCAGAGTGGTTGAGGGTTCTACAAGAACTTCTCTTCTAACAAACGATACACAGGGCCCTGGCTGAGTATTCACATGGAGATGCTCGTTTATAGCCCTGTGGGAAGACAGAGACACAGAAATGATTCATACGCAACATTCCAATGTAGTGATGGCAGACACAGGGAATTTTTGTGATCAACCCACCAGGCCAGGATCTTCTCCAAAAGTCTTAGGAGACCCTTCACCATGACCTTCCTTGGAGCATTTGAAAACAGAGAGCTCTGTCTGAAACAGCACCCTTCCCCTGGTGAGACAGTTCTTCTCACACTGGACCCACAGTACTCTCAATAACCCCTGCCTTTTCACTGGGCTCACTTTGCATTGATCAGGGTCCCTGTAAAGTCCCTGACATTGGTTGCACTTCTACTTCTGTCCTCTAGGGGAAAACATTGAGACACACAGGAAATAGACACAGGAACCTAGCTTCGATTAAGAAGATGTAAAAGGAGCTTGATTTACATGCCCTGCTTCATTGGGTTTTTCTTGAGGCCTCACTCTTGACTGCTCTGTGTAACCTGCTATGTCTAGAGACTGTTAACAACAAGGGGCTGTGCAGCAACCCTGAAAAGCTTAGGGGGCCACATGGCAGGCCTGACAAACCTCTTGGGATATTCCCATCAGAAATTTGTAGCTGGGCAGATGACCGCAGGTTGCCATATCCCAGGCCTATATTCTCCTTTAAAATGTTCTGTCTTCTGCTTGGGTCAGCCCTTAACCCCTTTTTTTCTTCTTTTTATCATAAATAGGATAACTTTGGCAGATCATGATGATTTCCTTTCCTGGACCAACCAAACGCACAGAACCTGGAGCAAGTGTGCCTTCAGAACACCTTCTCTCTATCTTGTAAATTTGAATAATCCTGTACCCATCAATGGAAAAATTATGCTTGTCCCTTTTGCCTTTTTTTTTTTTTCAATTCTGGAGTTTTCCCTGCTATTTTATCCCTCATCTTCTAATGGAATCTATGCAATATTTTCACTTTGTACTTTGATTATCACATACAAAACTAGGTGCAAAACTGCTTTTCTTCACAGAATTCGAGTCCTTTCTCCCAGGCATATGAGGTCAGTTTTGCTCAGACAAACTAATTGCATCAATTTCAGGTTTAAAAGTTTCTTACTTTGGCCTGGCCTGCGAGCACCTCCTCCCTCAGGGGTTTCTGTGCTGCTCTCTTCCCTATGCCTGGTGTCATCCATGGGCATGTTTGGCGACCACAAGAAAGTCTTTCAGGCAGAAATCAGAGGCTGTTCCACAACCAGCAGCATGAAGACAGGTCCAATAAACAGATATGAAACCCCTTGGAGGCCCCAGAAATACACAGGCACCTGAACTTTACCCAAAGTCCTTTCTTCTGGGATACACAGAACACCTCACACTTTACACCCCAAAGCTGTAGGTCCTACTGAGACTTCTGGCTTTTAATATTTGTCCCTGGAAGTAAAATCCAGTCTGGTGACGACCTGACATAGAAGAAGGGTCCTCTATTCAAGTATCACCATGCTTTGCCCCTTTCAGTGCCAAATTCATCTCTGTGACCTTGCTGGGAGGGAATAAAACCTTCTCAGAGCATTTGAAAACATGAAGAAAACTGGATTCCCACCCAAGTTTCTGTATCACAAGCAGAAATGTTCCCCATATTTTGAGGACAGCCAGGACTCTCTATGCTCTGCTGAGAGACCACAACCCAGGACACAGCACAGGTCAATGCTGGCATGAGTGGGTCCTCCTCTCAGGGGCCAATATGCCCCCATTAGCCTTACTATTGCAAGTGTACCCTACAGGGCAGGAAGATCTACTTTTCCTGATAGGTTGTGAGATGCACTGTATCTGAACCACTGCAGCAACCCCTTCAGAATCTGCAATTTAACAGAATCTGGAGAATTTTCCTGTGGACAGGAGATCAGAAGTGGTTCAACCTTCACATCAACACATCTCATTTTGAATGGACACCCACATTAACTGGACAGCTGCTGAAGATGCATTTCTTAGTGTCACCTGGGCATTGTGATATTCATTAAATTTCACAGATCTGAAGCACAGCTGGGTTGACATACTTATGACAAGATTTCCCTGACAATTTCAGAACACATGCTCTGAAGGGAAATATCAAATGTGATAGAGAGAAAGCTGTGAGAAAGGCTAATGTGCAGCTGACAAGAAGTTCTTGGGAATGTCTAAAATCCAGACAACCCTGTATAGTGCTTTCCAAACACAGCCTGAGAGTAGGAGTTTGTGTGTGTGTGTGTTTATATGCACGTGTGCATGTGTGTGGTGTTGTGAAACCTCAGGAGTTCCCAGGGAACCAAAATGTAGAAGAAAAATACTGGTAAATAGGAACTAGAGTGGCAGAATGAGGGCAGGGAGTGGGAGGGTTTGGGCACTGACTCCACCCCCAGTCTACATGAGAAGAATAGTAAACATGCCCCACAGTAAAGCTCAGCCCACAGTTAGAACCCACAGCAGATCTCACCATTCTGGACAGGGGTACCTGTGAGCCTTACAGAACTTCAGGCTTTTCACAAAGAGGCAGCCACAGAGTAGACAACATACACCATGGGATCCCTGTCAATCTCTACCCATAGAGGACCTGTCCACTGGCAAGTGATCCTGGTGGCTGGTAAGTAGGAGACAATTCCTTTGGGCAGACTAATGCTCTGGCACAGAGACTGGCTGGGATCTTCTAAAGATACCAGTGCTTTGAGAGAAGAGGGAAGGCGTCTGTTTTGACCTGAGGGTGAAGGGGAAAGGAACAGAGTAGGATCAGGAAGAGGGTCAGAAAAAGGAAAATCTCATAAACTGGAAGTGGTGAGAGGCAGGAAAACCACTGGTGCTCTTTTTCTGTTATTCATTGTTGAGTATGAATGATAAATTCTGGTAATAATAATAATGATTTATGTCATTGTTTTCTAGAAACACTAGAAAAATAAAAACCAGGGGTGCTAGGCATTGTCTTTACCACCAATGTGAGAAATGCTCCAATATACCCTATGTGGTGAAACCCTGGGGTTACTCATTCATTCTGCTCCATGTACTTGCAGGCTTTCGAGTCTCTAAGGGTACAAGATCCAACAAAGCCCTGCTTTATTTCATCCCATGTTTGGGAGGAGAGAGATAAAAGGAAAGATCTAGGTGTGATGTGAGGTATGCACAAGACCCATCATAAGAAAGATGTCAAGACAGGATCTTTAGAGAAGGTTGTCAGAAAAATATCTTCCAAAAGTTGCCCCTGTGTGTAGGAAGAAGTATGAACATAATTAGGGAGTTAGCAAGAAAACACCTACAGAATACTCTATGAAACAGAAAAGGTAACAGTTTTAGAGGTGCTAAAAATGGGGGCCATGCTGTGGACCTTTACTATGGGAGACACACACTCATCTATATACCAAGGCAGAGAAAGACACCTTCTCAGGATTCAGAACCTCATATTTCCATCACAATATATACTTATGAACATAGATTTTTTCTTCTTTCCCAGTCTCACTCCTCAACTTCTGGTGCCAGCCCACCACAGCTGAACTTTCTGTTGTGTCCACCTACAGCGCTGAAGGGGAGGCTGCACTTCTACCTCTTCACAATACACCTAATGATGTTATAACCTTCGTATGGTACAGGGGGAAAAGCACCAACAGAAATTTTATGATTGCATTTCTTATAACAACCTTAAGATATGATATAAAAGGTCCTGCATACAGCGGTCGAGAGAGAATAACCTCTGATGGATCCTTGCTGATAGACAATGTCACAAAGAATGATACAGGAATGTACACCATAGTTATCTACATTACAAATGTAATAAAAGAAATTGGATTGGTGCGGCTTATCGTATATGGTGAGTGTTTTCTGACTACTAGGTTTTGGGTGGGGTGGAGTCTACTTCACACACAGGACAGACATTCCTGAATTCTGCTTCCATTTATCTCCAAATTTTGTTTCTAGTTGGATTTTGTGAAGACAAATTTTCTAAGCTATCAGTTCCTTTCCCAAGTTGCATCCCTATGGACAGTCACTCTGGACAGAAGCATCATTGTGATGGGAGTTACTCTTCAGAGGGAAAGACACTTATGTTCAGCCCTCTGAGCACCTGCTTATGAACTTGACCTTGAGAATGACTTTGATGTTCTAGGTCAAATCATGTTCTAGGAGGCCCCCTGAAATTCTAACAGAGCTCAGCTCAGAAATTCCTCCCCAGAACATTTTTCCAGGTATCTTGAATACAGGGACAGTGGTAGCCCTGTGCAAAGTTGTGTTTAAGCTCTTGGGAAAGGCTGAGTGTGAAAGAGTTTAATTGGATCCCAAGACACAAAGATCCTGAGCTGGTCAAAAGTCAGGATTCAGGCCCAAGAGCCATGTTTGGGCAAAAATGGAGTTTGGTATCACCTGCATCTGTGTATGGAGAGCACAATTAGATCCTCCTTGAAGCTCGTTATTCACCAGGGATCAGCCTAGGAGATTCTTTCTTTGTGTTGATCATTAAGAGATGGCCCTTATTTGAACAACTCTTCTCTCCCTGGTTAAGGTCTAATGCTGTAAATATTGTACAGTTTGTACACTCACAACTTAGCAGCCAAATACTCCTTAAGAATAAACTGAGGCACCCGGAGATACAGTCACTACAGCAGCATCAAACAGACCATGAGAAACTGATCAGAGTCTCTCAAAGTCTGTTGTGGTCTTACATTTCATTCCTGTACTTTAGAGATCCTATAAGGATGTCTTTGGAATTGTTAACCAATGAATTGGTGCAGATTCTTTTGTCTTAGGCATGCTTATCTCACAGGAATACCTTTTGGCCTGTGTACTGACAATAAGGAGAAACAATGTATTTTTACTCTAGAACAAATTACCTGCAGCAACAATCAGAATCACTGCACAACCTTCCCCTCAAGTGGCCCATCCACACCTCTAGGCACTGGATTTCACATCACTTACTTATTTGCTTCTTGTTTTTGTTAGAGTCACTCCAAGCAAATATAAAGAAAAGACTTTGCCTTCTCACTCCCATTCTATGCCTGAAACAAACTCAGGGAGCAATATGTAACAAACATTCCATTGTTTTGATGACTTAGGACGAAAGAAATAGTGAATGAATGAATGAATGAATGGTCCAAAATCACTTCTGAGCCTGGATCCTAGATTCAGAATCCTTTCAATTTTTGCCAGGCAGGACAGGCTTTCTTTGCCTGCAGGAACCAAGACCATCATCTCAAATCAGTTTCTTTTCTCTAATAAGTCTTTCTTCAATTGTTCTTAGGGCCAGAACTGTTAATAATAATGTTCACATACAGAAGAACTCTAAGTTTTTTTTTCCAAATTTCTGTGTCAAAGCCACTTAACATACATTGCCCACATGGTCCAGAATTTCAGCAGGTCCATGACACCACTTTCTATAAGACACTTGTTTTACATTTGTACCAGTCCTTACCTCAGGGGAAAATTATTTTAATGGTCAATGGCAGAGCATTAATCAACTTCTGTCTGTCCTTTTTCCTCTTCCCTAAATCACTTCTTGGATTTTATTCTATCATTTTTGAATCACTGACTTATTTTGCTCAGTGACTAATTTGGGTCTCACTCTACTTGAAAGACCTAACCCACTTTTTGGCCCAGAAGCCTGAGCAGTTAATTTACCACTGGCTTGCACTTGGACTCTACGTGCTATTTCTGCATAAACCCCAACTCTAGGATGTTGTAGGAAATGGTGGCTTATAGGAACACAAAGCAGGTGGGTGATAGAAGTCTGTGCAGCTTCAAGGAAACACTTCTCGTCAACCAGGCAGCCAGGTGGTCAGTGAAGAACCAAAATTACAGGGGTATGTCTGACTCCCAATGATGTCTTTCCATAACAGAACATGGATACTTAAATGACACCTGAGAAAGTCTGTACTTTCCCCCAGACATATACCTAGCAGCCATACATTCTCTGAGCATCCAGATTCTAATGCATTTTCTAGTGATTCACAGAACTCCTGGGTTCTTTCAAAGACTCAGGTTGACGGAGATGTTAGGGGTGCCAACTCTGGTTGAAGAAACTTTTGGGGAAAGGGAATGTACTACACAGGGCAAGTTTTGTTCTCTTAGGTGCAGAGCACAGTTAACTGCACCCAACATCACAAGCAAGTAAGTCAACCTGGAGGGTTTTGACTTTCATTATTGTAAATGATAGTGGAATTGAACATTTTCTGTGACTTTTGGCCTGTTGCATATATACTGTTGAGAAATGTCTATTGAAGGTTTTGTTCATTTTTAAGTCAGTTTGTATGTGGTTTTGTTGTGGCTGTTGACTTGCAGAAAATTTTTGTGTATTCTAGATATTAACCATTCATTTTCCATATGATTTGCAAAGCATTCTCCTGCATTTCAAAGGTCACCTTTCAACTTGTTGTGTTTTTTGATAAAGAGGAATTTTTCATTTTGACAAAATCCAAATTGTGTAATTTTTTTTACCTTTGTTCTTGGTGGTATATTAATAAAATAATTGTCAAACCAATGTTATAAGGCTTCTCCATATATTTTTCTAAGCATTTTATGGTTGGGGGTCTAACCTTTAGAATTTGATATATTTGATTGAATTTTTGTATGTGGGATCATACAATGACCAATATCACTTGTCTGCATGCAAATATTGGTATGCAACACTGTTTGTTGAAAAGACTATCCTTTCTCTATTGAATACTCTTTACTGCCTAATAAATTACTTAAAAAAGCTAAAATTTTTCTGGTTACTGTAAATTTGCTTGGCTCCAGAGATCGACAGAGGGGTAAACATGCTTTTCATTGATAAAAGTTTACATAAGAAGTGGGATATAATGTTTTGTAAAAAAAAGTTTTTAAAAAAGTCAGTAAATGCTCAAGAGAGAAAAAATTATATCTGATGATGAGGTTATAGGACACATAAGCTGGAAAGGGGATTTTTGAGCTGCTAACACAGATGACTAAGGGAATATGAATGGAATTGCCCTGGGATTGTATATGGTCAGAGTGGATCTGCAGCTGTCTCATTACACAATTTCACCTGAATTTAGACAACTATCCTGCTGCAAATGTCAAGAAAATATTCTGGTAAGCCTTACATAGCTCACTGTGGGCTGTGAGTGGCTGAGATCTGAGTAAGTAGCATGGTTCCATATCTCATGCCCATTCTTAATCATTCATATTCCCTGTTTTTCCACAGAGCCTGAATTAGTGGTTTCCCTCAATGTCAGTAACAGCACAGTCACAGAGAATAAGGATTCTGTGGTCTTTACCTGCAACACAAATGCACTCTTCATTCACTGGTTGTTCAATGGCATTAATCTCCAACTCAATGAGCGCATGAATGTGTCAAATGTCTACCAAAGCCTCACCATAGACCCTGTGAAGAGGGAAGATGCTGGTATTTACAAGTGTAAAGTTTCCAATATCAACCGGTCTACTACAAGTTTTCCTGTTGTGCTGCATGTGAAATTGAGTAACAGTCATTCCTGACATATGTTATTAAATTCTAAATAAAATATTTTTCAGCATTATACTAGATTTTTGAAGGTGAATAGCTCTTAAAATACTTGCATCGAATCAATAAACACTAAAAAATGTAAGCAGACATTGTCCTTCTGTTCAATAAAGGTAATATTTCATGCAACTGTCATCTGAAGTTGGTCTCATTCATACTATGTCCACAGTGGAGGTGACATTGTGTCCTTCAGAGGATGAGCAGTGGTCCTGTGATAATAAGTGGGATCAGGTGAGGAGCTCATAGAATCCGAGCTCTGTCCTTCTTCATGTAAACATTCAGAGGGCACCTGAACATGTTTGTGGGCAAGGAGAATGAACAAGAGGACAATCTTGTGAGTAGCAACACTAATCTTTGCCTTTCTCTTTCTTTCAAAAGATTTCTAAAGCCTTGAGTTTTTCATGTTTATACCAATACCATTATTTCCATAAGTTCAATACATTTCTGTTTTTTGTTGGTACTATCTAATTGGAAGCTTTGATAATAAAACCAACCCTTTAGCTCATATGTCCTCATTCAGACAAATGACCACAGAATTAGAAATGGCCTCATGGCTTCTCAAGCTAAGTTTGACCTCATTGGTCTTTGGTATCTCTTGGAGAGGAAACCACCCAGAGCTAAAGAGAATGCAGGTGAATTCTCAGGGTGAAGCTTTCTAACCTCAGGTAACTGTTAAAACTTTTTTTTTCTGCTTGCTTGTTTGTTTTGTTGTTTAGCTTCCTGTTAAATGTGAGATCATATGGTATTTATCTTTCAACACCTGGCCTATTTCACTCAGCATAATGCTTTCCAGTTTCATCCATGTTGTTGCAAAGGGTAGTAGCTCCTTCTTTCTCTCTGCTGCATAGAAATCCATTGTGTATATGTACCACAATTTTTTGATCCATTCATTTACTGATGGGCACCTAGGTTGCTTCCAACTCTTGGCTATTGTAAATTGTGCTGCTATGAACATTGTGGTGCATAGGTTCTTTGATATTGATGTTTTAGGATTCTTAGGATATAATCCCAGCAGTGGAATTGCTGGGTCAAAAGGCAGGTCAATTTTTATTTTTCTTAGAAAATTCCATACTGTTTTCCATAATGGTCGTACTAGTCTTCAATCCCACCAACAGTGAACTAGGGACCCCTTTTCCCCACAACCTCTCCAACATTTGTTGTTTGTTGCTTTGTTTATGATAGCCATTCTGACTGGTGTAAAGTGGTATCTTGTTGTGGTTTTAATTTGCATCTCTCTGATAGCTAGTGATATTGAGCATCTTTTCATATATCTCTGGATCCTCTGCATGTATTCCTTGGAGGAGTGTCTGTTCAGTCCTTTTTCCATTTTTTAATTGGGTTGCTTGTCTTCTTAGAGTGGAGTCCTGTAAGTTCCTTGTATATTTTGGAGATTAAAACCTTGTCAGAAGTGTCATTGGCAATTATGTTTTCCCATACAGTTGGTTGTCTTTTCATTTTAACACTGTTTCTTTAGCTATACAGAAGCTTTTCATTTTGATGATATCCCATTTGTTTATCCTTTCCTTTATGTCCCTTGCTTTAGGGGATATGTCAGTAAAAAAGTTGCTGCATAAAATATCTGAGATTTTTCTGCCAATGTTCTCCTCTAGGACTTTAATGATTTCAAGACTTATATTTAAGTCTTTTATCAACCTGGAATTCTATGCAGCAGAAAGAAAGAAGGAGCTCCTACCCTTTGCAACAGCATGGATGGAACTGGAATGCATTATGCTGAATGAAATAAGGCAGGCATTGAAAGACAATTACTATATGATTTCACCTTTAACACGAAGCTAAACAACAAAACAAACAAGCAAGCAAAATAAAAACAATGACACAGAAATAGAGAACAGGGGGAAAGCAATCAGAGGGGAGAAGGGAGGGAATTTCAGGGGAAAAGGGGGAAGGATTTACATAAACTAGTATAAAAGACACATGGACAACAACTAAGGGGGGTGGAAATGAGAGGGAGGTGGGGAGCACGGTGGGGTGTACTGGGATGGCAGTAAAATACAGAATACTGTAGTTAAAAAATAATTAAATTAAAAAATTAAAAAAAGAAAATGGTATGGAGTTTCCTCAGAAATGTAAAAATGAAAAAGCCTTTTAATCCAGCGATCCCACTATCGGGACTATAGCTTAAGGATGCTGTAGAACCAATTCCAAAGAACCTATGCACACCAATGCTCATAGCAGTGTTGTTTACAATAGCCAAGTGTTGAGAACACCCTAAGTGCTCATCAGTAACTGAGTGCATGCATGGCACATTTATACAATGGTTACTGTCTGGCTGAAAAAAAGAGGAGCTCCTACTCTTTGACAGCCTGGATGGAGACCATTATGCTAAGTGAGATAAGCCAGGTGATGAAAGACAAATACCATATGATCTCACTTCTAAGTGTATCCTAATCACCAAAATAAACGAAGGAAGGAAATAGAACCGACCATTGTAACTAAAGTAGGAAAGATAGTGACCACAGGGGAGTGGGAAGGGGGGGAAACAGGGAGAGGGACAAGTAAAGGAAGACAAACAGAAAATTCATGGGCATGAAGCATGGAGGACATTACTGTGGGAGTTGGAGAGTCTGGGTTTGAGGTGACCAATGGGGAAAATGATAAGACAACTACAACTGAACAATATTACATAAAAAATAAAAGAAAAACCTCTCATGTTATATTCTATAAAAAAACTTTCATCAGAGCAATATATGTGGTGAATCTCAGTTTTTGTTCACTTCAGTAACTATGACAACAAAATAATTTACAGAAGCTATCTTGTAGGATTGAGAATACTCTTGTTCATTTTATATGATGTATGAAAAAATAATAAGAGGTGAGAGCAGAGGTATGGACAAATGCAGCATCCTGGGAGATGAAATTCTTGCTCTGTTCACGGACTCTCAGCTGTTTTACCCCTGTGCCTACATTGCTAGGAACTCACACCTCTTTATAAATTTAAGGAGATGCAAACTGACTCTTGGATGAAAGAGATTTAGTTGTGGGTCCCTCCATCATGAAGAAGGCATTTGTGTTATGTCCTGGAAGACTTAAAGTTCCCTCAGCAACCTTTAGACAGTTTCTTCCTGACCACAGGCCTCCAAAATCTATTTTAGAACATTCTGTTGAAAATATAATTGTAATTTGGTAATGGCTGATTCTTTATCTAGTATTTTGAAACATACTTAAGTGTTTTTGAAAGCTTCTTGCCAGTGTTAAGGACCAAAGAATACCTTCTCAAATACCAGGTCCACTACACTAAATGTTATTCATCTTGGTATGCCAGTCTCTGAGGAAGAGTAGAAACATGCCATACATGAGTGACTTTACAACCAAGACATAAAATGACCCCCTCTTCATGTTTCATGAAAAGTTTTGCTTTTTTTTTGTCTAAAGGCCATTAGGAAGCACAGATTCCCAAGTTTCCTTTTGTTCTAAAATCTCTCCAGCCTTTGAATTTGTGTCCTTCAGTTCTGTCTCACTACCCTATTGCATGAACTTTAATCAAGTCTTAATTCTATTTCTAAATTTTTTTGATGCATGTGTTTCTTTAACATAACCTCCCTGTAAGTAGCTAACCATACCATCTTACTCAAAGGGTCAATTTGAACATATTTTTAAATCTTCCAATTTTTTGTTTACCTACTTAATTTTTAAAAAGTATATTTGCAATGATCTTTTCTATCTTCTTCCTGGATGTCCAAAGCTGGAGATGACCTGATTTCACAGTTCTTCCTAGGTCCACAGGTGGCCTCAAAAGAAGCATTGGACAGAATCCATGAATGTGCACTGGCAAGAAAGGACATATTGCAACACCCTGACTGTCAACAGTGTACTCATTTCACATACATTGTCACTGTACCTTCAAGACACAAAAAAAGATCACTGTACCTTCAAGACACAAAAAACTCCTATCATAAAACTCAAATACCTAGTAAACATGCAGGTCCCTGCTATGTCAGCCACACATTGAGTGAGCCTCTTTGAAGTTCAATTTGACCTGCAGTTAAGAGCACACATCACTGTCCTCATTCCTTGTTTTCTTTGTTCTTTTTACAAATTCCACATGTCTATCCTTAAAAAGCCTGCATCCAGGACTAGGAAATCAAAAGTAAATATCTTCTCTGGTTCTATTCATTGTCTGCTCCCTGTGGCTCTGGTGTGTTGTATTAGATCCTTGGGGACCAATCCAGAGGTGGATTGTGTGTAAGTAGAGGTGAAAGCAAAGATCAGTCATGGAGGAATAGGGTTTGCCCAGTGTCAGATGAGAAATCATGAAGCCTGGAAGGTGTGAGGGTGTTACGCTTTGTATACAGCAAAGGGACTTAAGGTTCCACACAGGAGGGTTTGTGTGGAGACTCAGAATGAAGCTAAATAATATGAGTGAGGTTCTGACCTACCTGTTGCATGAAGTGCAACTAGAGCATGTTGGGTGAAGTGAGGGTGCCGATCATCCGCATTAGGATGGGCATGAAGGTAAGACACAGAGGGTGGGGGAAGGATAATGTTTTGAAGACTCAGTATTGTTTTCTGACACTGGAACTAGTCGGAGCACCTGATATACAAGTCCACAAGGGTTATATGACATCAAATATGGGACAGAAAACAAGGAGGAGGTTCAGACAAATTAAAGATTGGTACTTACCACAAGTTAGAATGTAGGGAAATGAAAAGCAATCATTCAATGTCGCTAGTGCTTAATAAGAGTGATTAAAATATTTTAGTACCAGGTAGACATGTTAGTTGCACATAATTGTGATTAAACTCACTACCACTGCCCTTTCCACTTTTTATTATGTACATTTTACCTCATATAATAATTATACTGGATTAAAAAGCCAGAATAAAAAGAGAATATACTACATAATTTTATTAATGCAAAATTTCTGAAAATGCAAATGAATCTACCCAGAAAAAAAGAACATGAGTAATAGTCTGAAAATTCTAGAGGATGGCAGGATCAGAGGAAGGAATTACAAAGAAAAGTGAAAAGCTTTGGGTGAAATGGAAACCCATGGAATTTGTATGAGTGCCAACACAAAGTAGAT